TATTTTGCTATTTTTAAATGTGTTTTTGAAGGAGAAAATGAAATTGAAAAAATTAATAAATTTGGTAGTGGGGTTGATGAATAATGTAGATAGATAGAATCACACGTCGTGATCCAAAAAAAAAAGAAGATGGATGTGATAATTGAATGGCTTTTGTCATGCACACTCGTAAGAAGCTGAATCATTTGAGTCGGACTATTTTGGATTGATGTGAAAAATATTTAAAATGGTTTTGTTTTGTAGTGAAACTTTAGGTAAATTGTCAAGTTTCCATCTAATTTAGTAGTTCAGTGTATGATGTTAAACGGCATAGAGATTAAACACTTAAAACAAATCTATAACATTAAAAATTTAGGACAATTGTCAAGTTCCCATCTAACATTAAAATTAGGGATTTTTAATAAAAAATCATCTCAACTATCAGTTAAGAGGATTTTTTATTAAAAATCCTAAAATTAACTAAGGTATTTGATGTTAGAGATTTGTGAGGCTTAAGTTCCCATCTAACAATGAAAGTAGCTAAGATGTTTAAACACAAACATTATGTAGGTTCTGTTTGAAAAATTTACCAAAAATATAGGAGTATTAAATATTTTAAAATAAATTTTAGAAATATATATAAACCCCAATTATATATAATTAAAATTTCTTTAGTTTTTTTCGTTTGTTTTCAAGTCGACATATTCGATTTTTTTCACTTGCACGTGTTAAAAACTGGCTACGCTAGACGCTAGTCTATAAAACATTTGACCGGTTTTTTTTTTTTTAATAAACCTGATATTATACCAAATCCAGCACCAAAAAATGTTTTCTCTAACCTAGCTCTGATAAAATTTCATTAAGGTTCAAAAAAAAAATAACAAATGTTTTCTCTAAAACGTTTGAGTCCAAGCGGAAATGGATTGATTAGGAACAAAAAAAAAAACAGAGGATTATGGATTTAGACGAAAACGAGGGTAGATACATTTTTGAAGGTCGTCTTCAATACTAATGATTGTGATCGAAATTTTAGTGTCTGTAGCGTTTGCGTCTAATCCTTTTTTGTTTATTTTTAATCTTTATACTCCTCGGTATCATTTTAAATGATTTATAAGATTTTTATCCACAAATTAAAAAATTATTTAATTTTTTATTTTTCAACATAAAACC